TGTAATAATAATAATGATAATAATAATAATAAAAATAAAACATAATTTGATGATTGAGTTTGACACTTTAATCTATACTATATTATAAAACACTCTCAAAAATTATTTTTTATGCATGAAATACTGTTTATTAATGTATATCATTTATACATTACTTAAAATTCAAGATTATAAATAATTTTACGTAAGTACAACTTATTAAAGCTTCATTTTTAAATTCGTGTAACTAACTGCAGATAAACATAATCAAATATAAGATGCACATCCATTTTAAATATAGAAAATTCTAAAATATAATTAAGATAATCATTGAGTTCTAATAAAATGTTTAATTATTATCCTTATAAAAAAATTATATTATTAAATAAAAAATAAATTACTTTGTTATTAAATTTAATAAAAAATTAAATTAAAGAAGTTACATAACAAAACGATAACTATTAAATAGTTAATTTGATATTAATATCAATTTATTTATTTTTTCAAAAATAAAAACATCACTATTTTTTTAAAACCACATAAAATCTTATTTTAATAAAAACTAAAAATTAAATCGAGATTTATTTTAATAAATTTTACGAGTAACATTTAGGAAGTGTTGTTTAATTTCTAAAAATTAATGCAATCTTTGAAGGTGGTGGATATTTATTTTATTTTATTTTATGGCAGGGGCTGCATATGAGCTGCGACAGCGAGCTCTGATGGAGGATCGGAAAACAATGGAGATCTTCAACTTCTTTTGAACCTCAATCTTCTTCATTCCCCCAAATCTACATCCACAGATTTTTTATTCATTAAATTCCATTCATTAATCGTGCATCCCATCTTTCTCCTGTTCGATTCAATAAGTATAAAACCTTCTTCCCATTCGAATCTATGTTGTCAATATACAATTTGATGTTTGTTTATTTCCTTCACAAATTTGTGTAGATTTGAATTTTCATGTTGTCAACTGGTTTCGCGCTCTAATTCGTCCGATGATTGCGGTAGGAAATTGGTCATTGATTTTCGAGTCTTCGCTGGGGTTTGACTTCGTTGAAGCCCAATCGACGAAGGTAGGGTTCGCGAACTTTCCGGCGAGGTTGCTCAATTGCCGAACGTCACCGTCGAAGAACTTGGTGCCGATCAAAGCAAAGGAAGCTTCGCGAATGTCTTCGTTAAAATCCGATATTGAAGTCGGCTCCAACGAACACGAACGTGGTATTATCAATAATTCGGATGATTCGAATGGTACTAAATCCGTAAATCGTGAGAGATGTGGATTATAAAGTTGATAATCTCGAATATTCTTTAACAGTTTCATGTGAAAAATAGGTTCGATTCGTCACGAAATCACCACAAAGGGAAGGAGATCCACGAATATTGTTTGGCATAAATGCTCTGTTGAGAAAATCGATAGGCAGGAATTGCTTCAGCAAAAAGGTTGTGTCATATGGATTACTGGGCTCAGTGGTTCAGGTTAGTCGATACTTTCAAGGCTATAGAAGTTGTGTTCATAACAGAACCTCCATTTTTTCAAAGTCTTAATTTTAACTACAGAGATTAATCAAGTCTTTTTAGATTTGAATATTTGATTGATAATTCATGCTCTATGTTAAATTATTTTCATCTTAGTTTATGATACTCATGTACGGTTATCAGGAGATAAAAAATGCTACAGAGTATTGTATATGGTTTTAGTTGATGTGTCCTCCTGTTTCTTGATGAACAACTGAAGGATACAAGCTGACTTTTGTTTTAGGGAAATTGCCCAAAATAAGCATTTTGGACTGAACGATTCACTTTATGCCGTTATTCTACTCAATTGACCAAAATGTCGTAAATAGCACTGCTAGCAACTTGCAAAATCTACTTTTTATGAATATAGTATCACTTTTGCACACGGCTAAAGTACTACGCAAGTTGTGTAAGTAGCAACTTTAGCACTATATCAACTTTAGCAAGCAACACTTTGGCAAGTTGCGAAAATGGCACTTCCACTCAGCAATTAACAATTAGCACTTTAGCAACTTGCGAAACTACTTTTATGAATATAATATTCATAAAAGTAGCAATTTAGCAAGTTGTTAAAGTGCTAGTTGCGAACTTTTGGCAATTTCGGTCAATTTTGTAGTATCACAGGTCATTGTTTGGTTTTTATCTTGATGACCTGTAGTTTGTTAATCTTATACCCTTACCTATTAAAGTATATATACCACTAAATGCTGTTTATATGATTAACAAGCTATAAAAAAGGTTTAATTATGAATGCGACTTCAGGAAAGAGCACCTTGGCTTGTGCCTTAACACGTGCTTTGCATTCTCGAGGGAAGCTGACATACGTCCTTGATGGTGATAATGTCAGGCATGGTCTTAATCGCGATCTTACTTTTAAAGCAGAAGACCGTGCTGAGAATATACGAAGAATTGGTGGGTTCAGTTCTTATTTAGCTTTCATCTTAGTTGAGATTTGCTGCTCTGATTATGTTATAATTATGTTATATTATTATGGATTTTTAGGAGAAGTTGCGAAGCTGTTTGCTGATGCTGGAATTATCTGCATTGCTAGTGTGATATCTCCCTACAGAAAAGATCGTGATGCTTGTAGATCATTGCTTCCAGATGGAGATTTCATTGAGGCTGGTCCTATACCTATAAATTTTCCATTTTGATGATGTAGTTTACGTTTTGATATTGACTCGCACAGCTTGTGATTGACAGGTTTTCTTGGATATGCCTTTACGGGTTTGTGAGGCCAGGGATCCAAAGGGTTTGTACAAGCTTGCACGCGCTGGAAAGATTAAAGGTAACTGTAATTGCATTTTTGAACCAAACGAACCCAATATATTCCATATAGAGCTCGGATTCATTAATTTTCCTTGTTCCTATTGTGATCAGATGTTTCATAGCAAGGTCGATGATGAGGTTGATCATTCAAAATCCCTGGCCAAACCCTATCTCTTTACGAAGCATTGTCCATTGTTTACTCCCTCACTCTGAACCCTGAACTAATACGAAGGACTAAACTAACCTTACGTTACTTCTTCTACATGTAATTTATGGCAAAAATCATTGGAATCTAAAACTATCACATGACTTGATTAGTGTTTGTGCCTACCCGTCTTTGTGGGTTTATCTGAATCCCTATTTATATATTAAGCTTATAGTGGTTAAGTTCTTGTCCATGTGCATTTTTTTTTTGGCTGACTTGAGGTGGTTACTCAATTTGATTAGCTTGGGTTATCTGTTTCTTTAATTTAATCTTATGGCTTACATCTTCCACTATCATTGTGGCAGGTTTTACTGGGATTGATGATCCGTATGAGCCACCACTAGATTCTGAGGTACACTTACCCTTTAAATTTACATATTTGCAATTTGCAGTTCTGTTTGTACATGGACGGGACTGTACGGATGAGAGTAAGTAGACAGGTGAAAGAATTGCAGAAGTAGTTTAGTAATTTACCAATTTTGACACCTCTCTGAATTTCTATTCCACCTATTTTGGTGATACATAGTCCTGTCATGTCCCAGTCTAATGTCGTGCCAAACATGGGACAACAAATTTTTTGTTTTGTTATGTCCCATTTTATCCTATGTACCAAAAGCACTACAAACTTGAGTAATGACTAGTGCCAATGAGCCTTGTTGTGGTCCTAAAAGTTAAAATAGTCAGCCTGGTTTATTTTGTAGAATCTGTGCCTTTTTGTTGCCTATACTTCTTTTGTAATGGCCTGCTTGATAAATGGCGAAAAGAGTAAGCTATGGACACACCAACTAACTCAATCATAGTTAAACCAAACCAAACCCATGGTGTAAGATGTACACAGACCTGACCTCAAACTCAATGTTCTGGGGAGGTGGAATGTAGGTAGACATGACCTCTACCTTAACCATTGTTATCTTGGAGAGAGAGAGAATATGTGTAGTTTTATTCAAGTATGCAATTGAAAGGAGTTGTATATATACATAAATATTCTGATATGGTGCAGATAGTGTTAGAAGAGGAAGGAGATGTGTGTCCTCCACCTGAAGTTATGGCTGATAAAGTGATTTCTTATCTGGAGGGAAAAGGTTATCTGCAGGCATAATCTCTTTGAAATCCCAAATGTGTGTATATTTACACAACTTCTTTAAAAATAAAATCATTTTGTTTACGGGAAATTACTCGTTTCCTGGTTAATCGTTGTTAAAATGCAATATGTTGATTAAGGTTAAATTATGGGTTAGGATTCGGTAATTTATGATATATTTCGACTGTCGAACATAACTTATATCATATATGTATATTTACGTTTCATCCCTGTAGATATAATTCTGAATGTCATCCGTTGTGAACCAGGGAACAAACGACACATGAATAATGAATGTGGAGAACTTTGAGCCAAATGCATCACAAAATGAACACGTAAATTGGGGAATACAAAAATGTAGCATGAAGAAAAAAATTCAACCATGCATCTTCAAAACAATGAACTAGTAACCAAAACAAGATTCGCTTCTTAATGATTCAGAGGCTGAAGATAACCATGGGTGTCCAGATCAACTTGCACACACACCTCAACTCATCTCATAGGACCCTGAAGATTACAGTGTGGAAAATCCCCAGTGGTCCTGTAGACCCCCAAAAACGAGCCTTAATTTGCAAGTTGAGCTGGCCTTGAAGGTTAAATTGTTTTACTTGAACCGCATCTCTCTAGCAATAGCAGGCAGCCATCTTTCGCCTCGGATCTTTTTCAGCTCCGCAACTCGCTCTTCCTCTTTTTTGGCTTTTGCTTTTGCAGCTGCAGCTCTTGCTTCTATCTTAGCTAGAGACCTTTGGCATGCTTCTTTTGCTGAAACTATTATATCGTGCCCTTCAACAACAACCGACTTGAGTTGGTGTCTAAACTGCAAAAAAGATAGATTGTTGGGCGTAACGTATACCATTTAGCAAATCGTATATAACGCAATAAGGAATCACACCTTTTTGGATTTTTCGTTGACCTCTACGTTGGGAATGATTCTCGGTCGCTTTAGCGGCCCTTGAAGTTCATCTGGTACATGGATAACGAAACTTGAACTCCATGAGAGGAACAAAACCAGAATATATTTGGTGGATAGGGGTGTTTCATCTAGGTGGATCCAATCCGATCCAATCATCCATTTGGTGTTGGATTTTGCTATCTAATCCAATCCAATTAACGTTGGACAAACGATACGGTCCAATCAGAGACGGACCTAGAAATCTTTTCAAGTGGTGGCACCATTTTGACTATAAACAAATATATGAATTTTTTTTGCTTTTCAATATATGATTAGTTTATTGCTTTTCAATATATGGTTAGTTTATTGCTTTTCACATGTTCAAGTCTTTTATTGCAAGTTTCTTTTAGAAACATATAAATCTGGAATTAAAAACTAAAAATACTAAGAAAATGACACTAATGGGACTCGAACTCTGGTCTTGGCTAGAAAAAAAACCCTATAAACCAACTCTATCAAGAGAAACTTGTGTCCTCATAGTAGTTTCAAAATATATACAGTGGCACACAAAAAATTGATATGGTGGCACTTTTCACGACCCTATAATTTTCACCACGACGAGGGGAACAAATCGGTGGCTAGTGCCACGGTATGCACTACACTGGGTCCGTCCCTGCTTGATCCAACCCAATCCAATAGATGATCAGATTGGATCTCCTACATCTATTGGATATTACTATTGGGTATCCATTAGATCGGATTCGATTCGTCCAATATTTTGATCCAATATTTCTCCAATTAATCCACCATTTCAACAGATTATTCACATATTTTTTCTAATTTCTTAAAAATACACCACATACAAATATAAACAAAAAATATCTTAAAATATTATTGGTAATTAATATTTATTAGTTGGATGGTAATTGGATCGAAATGGGTTTGGTTTTATTGGATTTTGGACTGCCATCCCAGAACCGACTGATCCAATTTGGATGTCCAAATTTTGAATTCGATCGGATCCAATTACAATTGTATATCCAATTATGGTCGGTGGGTAGCACACCTCTAGGTGGAAAATTAAGGAATTAATTCAATAATACTCACGGATTTAGAACCGTGGCTAACATGCATCCTACGTAACCAAGATAACGAGTGTGAATCAACTTACCAACATGATCAAATAGTATGCCGGGTGGAGCATCTCTAAACAGTCTAACACCACCTCCATTTATCATTGAATGGTTTTCTGCAACTTCTGTGGGCTGCTGTCTCACTATTTCCATGCTCTTTTCTAACAAGTCATCCAACAGCTTCTGTGCCTATTGAAAATTGCAACCAATTATCGTGATAAACTAAACCAAAATAAGAGCCTGTTTGTTAGCAGCTTAACGAGCTTAATGAAACTCACAGCTTATTCAGTCAGCTATACATGACTGTTTCCTAGTGGCTTAATGGTATAGGAAGTGGCTTATTCAGTAAGCTTCTAGTGGCTTACTGGAAAGCACTATAATCATTTAGCCATTAGCAAAAATAGGTTTGCTTTGCTATTATTCAAATACAATATCCAAAGAAGGAACCACAAGCAACTGAAAAATCCAGAATAAGAGGCGGACGGCTAGTACACCATGTACAAATTCATTGGTTATGACTGAACCCTGAATTGCATTAGTGGCCGTTTACCAAACGCTTACTCGGGTAAGTGAACAAAAAGTCACGTTACTTTACCGGAAGAATATGGTAATAACAAAAAATCTTACCCGGTAAGAGCGAGACAAAGACCAAAGTCTTACCCGGTGAGTGAGGGCGATACTCTTGCCATGGTAAGCTCTTACCATGGTAGGCGCTTACCGGATAAATTGTTGCATACGATAACGTTTTGGTGAACTAGAATCTTACCCGGTAAGTAAACGATAGTATTACATTTACCGGTAAGCGCTTACCAGGTAAGTGTTTGATAAACGGCCGCTAAGTCTCTAACCATGCAAATTTATCAAATTCGATAATGAAATCAACACCAAATGGTGTGCATATTACATTGCCTTCAGAGGTTTACTGAAGCAGTGTATCTAGGTAAATTTTTGAAAGTTTCAGCAACCCTAAATAGCTTTCCTACAGAAGCAAAAAAGAAATCCCCGAATCCATTGAAATGAACTAAAAAGGGGGTGCAAATGTTTAACAAAATCAACAAAGCAATGATGCAATACAGAAATCATCTGATCATAAGTTATTGATAGTAAATTTCAATCCGACGGCATAATTGAAGAAGACATACCTTGATATGGTAGAGTTTGATGTTCTTGGTGTCCGCTTGTTTTTCACGATTGGAAGAAGCCACAGAACTGGTGGTTGTTCCATTGGCAACTGTAGAACGGTTAGAAGCTGCGGTGGATGCGACGGAGTTTATGGCGGCTCTCCACTCAGCGTCGCCGTCTTCCTCCCCACTGCTGCTGGAATCTCTACCATCACTGCCCATTTTACCCCCCAACGCCCAACGGATCTAAAACTTTCCCTTAAATGGGCCCAAATTTTGTTTAAATACCTTTTGGAAATGGGCCTGAATATGGGCCTCAAATTGTAGTCTCAGCCAGCGTCTCAGGTAAATATCAGGCCGAGTTGCCGACCACCGCAGAATTAAGCCGGCTCGGCGGAGTTATCAGCGACCACCGTATCAGATTTAGGAGCTGCAATCTTTCGGATACCGTTTCTCCGTCGGTAGGGATAATAAAGAGGAAAGGGGGTTCTGTTTGCGCTAATTTCAATTATTATCCTCGGCGAACTCTACACGAAACCCTAATTCGCCCGAAGTTAGAGATTTTGAAGAAAGATGGGGAAGAAACAACACAGCAAAGATCGGATGTTCATTACGAAGACGGAGTGGGCCACCGAGTGGGGCGGTGCCAAGTCCAAAGAACTGCGGACACCTTTTAAACGCCTTCCCTTCTATTGCTGCGCGTACACACTTTCTTCCTCTTTGTACTTCAATTTGATTTTCTATGTTGCCTGTTTGTGTGCTATATATATATATATATGTATATATATATATGTATATATATATATATATATATGTCTGTGATTTGAAGATTGACTACAATACTTGAATGCAATTTGCAGCCTGACATTTACTCCATTTGAGGACGCAGTGTGCACCAAGGATGGCAGTGTTTTCGATATCATGTGAGTGGTTCTTATCGTTAATGCTTCAGTAATTGACTCTCAGAAAATGCTTCAGTAGTTTGGGCTTCAGTTTATTGGATTTAAATCTTTATGGTCATTCTTCTATACGAACTTTGAGTTGAGAACTTTGATTTTTTTTGCTGCAACTTCTGAAACTTTTATTTGTGATCACCATGCTTAAGAACTTAGTCATCAATTGAATGTTTCTGTTATACGCCATTCAGTTTTAATGGTATCCCTGTGTTCAAGGAAACCCACCAAGTATGGATACTTAGGAGAAGCTACCAAGTGCGGTAACTCCGAATGAAACTACTTTTTAACTCGATAGAACTTCAGCTTGAAGTCACTCTGTAAATACGCTAGGCTGTTGAAGCTTTATTTCAGTTAACTTCTTTTCTCTTTCATGTCCTCTGGCAATTTCACAGAAAAGTTCATTGTGAAGTTCCTATTTTTTATGAGGATGGGGGAGTCATAGATCACTAGAGAGTAATGGCCTGTTTGTTTGCAGCTTAACGAGCTTAATGAGACTCGCAGCTTATTCGGTCAACTTACGTGATTGTTCGGTAGTGGGTTAATGATATAGAAAGTGACTTCTTCGGTAAGCGTCTTAGGGGAGACCTTTATGTATAAAGCCAAGTTTTTCCAAACCTGCCCCTCCCAATTAAAGAACACACTCCTTCCATCTATGAAAAAACGCTTCCAAAATAAACAATCTATACAAACAGATTAATCCACACAGATAGCTTTATCCATACAACACTTAATGGAAAACCAACCAAAGAGCCCAAAAGGTCAATTTACCCACCAACATTTCTTTTACCATCATTAGTTTGTGTTAACAAAAAAGTCTTGTAGAGTTTAGGTTCAATGCCAGTCAAATACCTTTTCCGTAGGTGTTTCTTTTTCCGTTTATAGAGTTTCCAGTTTTTTAGGTTATATATGAAATTTATGATGCAGGCACATTATCCCCTACATAAGGAAGTACGGAAAGCATCCTGTTTCTGGAGCTCCTCTCAAACAAGAGGATCTCATCCCACTAACTTTTCACAAGAATTCTGAAGGTACGATTGCATCTTCTCTAAGATCCCTCTATACGCATGCTTGTTCTGTAGTACTGGATGCACCAGCCAACTTGCTGTCTATTCTCTTGTTACATTGTAAATGTAAAGAATGCATATTTATGAGTCAATGCGTTAGTTAGATGGCTTTTAAGTTATGGCAGATAAGTTGAGTTGTGATTTGTGAATTATGAAAAGATTTTTAATCCTTGCTCTACCGTATAACTTATTTATCATATTGATGACTGGATGATGATTATAAATAATTAGGGGCTCTTTGGATATGTGTTTTCAGTTGACATTTTAATTTTATATTGGATTTTTTCTTAATTCTTGTCATAGTAGTTTTTGTATAGATGACTGGTTATCCTTTCCCAGAAACTTCTTTTCTTGCATAGCTCTAGATGCTATATAATGTCGCTTTCATGCTTTTCTGTAGTTCTTTAATATCCACTCTGCTATTTTGAACGTACCACCTTCCAACTTCTGTAGGAATTTCTTAACTTTTGGGAAATTATTCTCTATTTTGTAGGAGAGTATCATTGTCCTGTATTGAACAAGGTTTTTACAGAGTTCACACATATTGTTGCAGTAAAGACGACTGGAAATGTGTTCTCTTATGAGGTTTTTTTCTCTTTAGTCATTTGAAATGTATATTTCCTTATCCACAATTTTTTCCTCGAAACAAATGCATCCAACTCCATATCTTGTACAGGCAATCAAAGAATTGAATCTTAAAACCAAGAACTGGAAGGAGCTTCTAACTGATGAACCCTTCAAAAGGGAAGACATCATTACCATTCAGGTAATACATGCCTTCAATGTGTTTCAGACTTGTATGTGACGTAATACATAAATATCTAGTTTCAAATCTCCAAGTTTGCTTATGGATGTATGCCTTTGTAGAATCCAAACACACTTGACAGCAAAGCTCTTGTGGATTTCGACCATGTCAAGAAAAGCTTGAAACTTGATGATGAAGGTAATTTCCCTCTCTCTTTTATCTTTGCATGGACTAATCTATATATGCTCACTTAGTTTTCATTGTGATAATGGTAAATTTGAATTCACTTCTCAGAATTAAAAAAACTGGAGGAGGATCCAGCCTACAACATAAATGTGTCTGGCGATATAAAGCAGATGCTAAAGGAGCTTAAAACAGAGAAGGGACGGGAACTTGCACTACATGGAGGTGGTGGAAGTAAGGCACAAAATGAAAGAGCTGCTGCACTTGCTACCATTTTAGCTGCTCGAGAACGCATTAAAGATAACCCCAAATCAAATGATGAAGTTAAAGCTCAACAGGCTTTTAGTATTGTTGATGCTGCATCTGCTTCTGTGCATGGAAGAAGTGCTGCTGCTGCCAAGGCTGCCTCAAGTGATAAAACTGCTGCTCGAATAGCCATGCATATGTCTGGTGACAGGACACCAGTAAACGCTAAGATGGTTCGCTTTCATTTTGAATCTTTACGTATGAACATCTATGAATTTGGTAAAAGAGACTTTCTTGGAATGACCAGTAGATGTACCCCCCCCCCCCCCTTCTCAATTTCTTTTGAACAGTGGCATTAAGTTAGAAAAACAATGGTTATACCTTACTGATTTACAAAGTCTGTCATTAAGGTTTGTGCTAGCAAAATCTGGGGCCATCAATGCTAATATTTCGTTATGTCTCTTGTCAAATAAAGAGAATGAATGCACACACATTTTATTGGATAAAATCAAACCCCTATGGTGCATTAGGGTCATCAATTTATTTGGCTGCACAGAAAGCTGTTTACATGATAGTACACAATCCACAGTAGGCTGCATATTACAAACCTGCGTACAAATAATTTTGTTAGACAAATTTTTACTAAGATGATAAATATAACCTTACATCTTCCAAGGAAATCCGTAAAGACAGGCCTCTGAATCTAGTATTTGTCACTGACCATGGTGAGGGATTAGCCCGAAAGAGTAAAGTAGGACTTAAAATGAGGCTGGGAGGGACCCCCCAGGGGGAGAAGGGGGTTCATCTTTTAACTGTCCAAAAGGTTCTAGAGTTTATTTCAACTTCAACCATAAAGAGGGCCATAATTTTCTTCAGTCTTTCAGGCCAGGTGACTATGTTCTATCAGAAAAGTTTGAAGTTGATTTTGACTATTTTAGAACCAACTTCAGGTTTGGATTTGGTGATAGCAGTTGCATTCCCATTCTTGCATATCTAAGTTTTAAGAAGGTCTAAAACATCCGAATGTGCTATAAATTCTCATTTATGATAAGACTGTCTCTCTCATATTGATAATTTATTTTTGTGACACCATTTTAGGTAAAGAGCCGTTACACGAGTGGTGCCACCTCTAGATCTTTCACTTCTACATCATATGATCCGGTCACAAAGAATGAGTTTGAATATGTGAAAGTTGAAAAAAACCCGAAGAAAAAAGGTTATGTTCAGTTGCATACTACCCATGGTGATCTAAATATCGAACTGCATTGTGATATAGCTCCAAGGGCATGTGAGAACTTCATCACTCTCTGTGAACGAGGCTATTACAATGGAGTAGCTTTCCACAGAAATATAAGGTATTTTCTATCTTGGTCTTATCTTTAGCTTCAATTCAAGGTCTCTGACATAAGAGACATTACCAAACCAAACCAAACCAAACCAAACCAAATGAGTCCAATATATGTTCGGGGGTAAGATGTACATAGATCTGACATAAGAGAACTTTATGATACAAATTGCAGGAACTTTATGATACAAGGTGGTGATCCAACTGGGACTGGGAAAGGAGGTGAATCTATATGGGGAAAGCCATTCCAAGATGAAGTAAACTCGAAATTGCTACATTCTGGGAGGGGGGTTGTCAGCATGGCAAACAGTGGGGCCCACACGAATGGATCGCAGTTTTTCATCCTGTACAAGTCTGCCAACCATCTAAACTTCAAACATACAGTTTTTGGTGGAGTTGTAGGAGGCATAACAACTTTGTCGGTGATGGAGAAGGTCCCTGTTGATGATGATGATCGACCTTTGGTCAGTCCTATCTCCTAATTTCTCAGGTTATCTTATATTTTCTGATTGGTATTGGCATCCATTTGCCCTTTGTTTTCATAAAAATAAACCATCTAATATCATGTCATCTTTACTCATTATTTTGATTTGGAAGTGCTTCTTGATAACTTTAACTTGGCTTCAACTCACAGTTGTAATTTATATGAACAAGCAAACCAAACTGACCCAGTAAATTCCATCTGAAAGTTTTTTTTTTTTTTTTTGGGGGGGGGGGGTTCAGATGTACGTAGCCCTGATCTCCACCCATTGTTTATGTGATGACCCCTGGCATATAAATTTATTGATGCCGTCTACATACATAACCAAGTTATCTTTTGTGCCATTTCCAATCTTTCATAGGTAACCAAGGGCTCCTGATCATCAAGAAATCCATGTTTTGGTCTTGGAAGTTGGTGGTTGTAAGTTGTAACTAGCTTGTCCGAGTATGAATTCCAGGTGTCATGACTATCCATGGGTTCACATGGTTCTAGTCGGTTAACCTTAAGGGCCGGCTCAACTGGCAAATAAAGGTCATACTCATGCTTTGGGCTCCTCCCTATAGGTCGCCTGTTCGAGTCTCCTTAGGGTCACTGGAAATTTTCTTGGCTTTTATCTTCAGCACTTGATGGATTAGTTGAGGTGTGTGCTAGCTGGTCTGGACGCCAGTGGTTATAAAAAAAAACGAAGTGTTATAGTCGGTTGTCATGAGGACCTATCCTAGAATGAAGCTTATTTGGTTGATATCTGTGAACAAAAACAACAATTAGAGTAGTCATAGTTATTCAATCATCTTTGCTAAATGGTATTTGCCATCACAAAAGTATCCTTACTGTACATGAAAATTTCGTCTCATGTATCAATCAACTTGTAGCTAAATGAAAATAGTCTGACAATGTAATATGACAAGTAGCTTATGTGGCATTATTAGGTCCCGAATAGTTAGAAGGGTTTGGTTCTTTGAGGGTGCATTTGATATTTGGAATAAGACGGGATACGACAGAAGAAGAAAAACCATCCCACATTTGGTGCAACATTACACCGCGATAGGAAGGGACCGAGTGAGACAAAAATGCGCTTTCTTGTCCCACCAAAGTAGGTGGAACAAAAATTAGGGAGATGAGATTAGATTTGGTATATTACTAAACTACCCATGTTAAGCTAAAACCCTAAAACCTTCCACACTTCTTTCATCCACCTCCCTCATTCTCACCCCTGCAGTTCTGTCCGCCTAACTTGCACACCTTCTCATCCTTAATGATTCTCTGACGAGCCTTATTCTTTGCTTTATTTGTTTTCGTACGTGTCTCTTAGACTTCACTTATATTTAAAGTTCGTATCTCATGCATGCTTCCAGAAATAAATCCTTTGTGCCAATGTCGTTAAACAGAAAAACGAACACTGATTCCTCTCATTTTTCTCTTGTCTTTTCCTATTATAGTGAGTAGCTGTACATTATAGCATGGTTCTTTTTGCCACTTGCAGGAAGAGATCAAGATAATTAGTGTATCAGTATTCGTCAATCCTTACTTAGAACCAGATGAAGAAGAGGAAAAGAATAACGAGGAGAACACCGTTGAGGATGAAGAAAATGTTAGTGTCTTCTTTTTTAACTACATAATATTCATATACAGCAAATACTTAAACATACTTCTCACATTTGGTGAAGTTTGAACCCTTGACCTCCTAAAAGCCTAGAATCTATCAGTAACCCAGGTACCGTTGGGCCAATGCCCCCTGTGGTGAATGTTAGTATCTTGGTGACCTTAACGGTGATCACTTTTCACTTCTATTTATGCATATTTTTGGTGCATTTTTCAGGAAAAGATCGGATCATGGTTTAGCAATCCAGGCACAGGAGCAGATCCAGAAGCTTCAGGTGGTGGAGTCGGTAAATACCTGAAAGCAAGGAGCGGTAAGACGGAGTCGACCGCTGCGGTCGATGGCGGTGGGCATGCGGGTCCTGCCGTATTAAAGAAAAGAAAATTGGGTGTTTCAACACAAGAACTGAAAGATTTTTCTGGGTGGTAACAAACACATTTTTTTTCCCTGAAGAAGCAACAAAAACATAGCCATCAGATTTTGTGTTATCCAGAATGTAGTTGTATTCTATGTACAGTTGATGCATTAGAGGAACTATCAAATGGTACAACTTTCAAAAATGAAAAGATAGAATAGAAGCAACAGCTGCATCTCATGTGCGTTTGGTATCTGGACGGGACAGATTAAACGGATAAGATTGAATTAAGGGTGAAAGCATTGTCGGATGTTTTAGGGTTTTCTTTTTCTGATTAACCTGGATATTCAACCCGCTATGCAAGCCTACTAATCCCAGAGCGACCACCTGCTTTGCAGATAGCCTGAAGTCACCGCATTTGAACCTCCGTGGCCACAAGGAGAATTTTTAGCTATCAACTATAAATGATTAGTACATGCATATCCATGATATCTATAAAGCAAGTGGTCGTTCTGGGATTAGTCGGCTCGCATAACGGGTTGGATATCCAGGTTAATCAAAAAAAAAAAATTATACCAACCCTAACTTTATTTGGATTGGTATCAGCTTTTTTCGGTTGATATATCTTGACATGATTTTGTATTAACATCAGAAATTTTCATAAGGTTATACGTTTGTTTTATATTAATATCTTTGTTAAATAGATGTACTAAAACAATGAACAGTTCGATAACATCACCTCCTTCCGTAAATGCCTTGCCTTGGGCGTGCCCACCCGGGTTCGATTCCAGGGGAGGACATGTTGTCTTTTCCGGTGCTTGCTTATGAGGTATCACAAGTAGGGTTCACAAAATGTGGACCACGGGGCCATGAGGTCCCCGCCATTAAACCTTTTTTTCGATAACATCACCTCTCGAAAATACCCTGACAATGAAAGTTAGTGCCGTTCGAAACGGAACACGAACCAATTTCAGCTATTCCGGCTTTTTATTGAGCATGGTGAAATCGTTGATATTTCTTCTATCATTGACATTTTCAAGCCTTCAAATAACCTTGTGAATATACAAATACTAATTGATACAAATTACAAGAATTCAGAATTAAAATAATTTATTTTTTTCTCAAAAAGTAATACATGACTACTTACTCATGTATGTTATTCTCATATAACCTTAATTGTTAATTAATAAAATTTTAGAAATAGAAAATAGAAATTTAGAATTTAGAAAAATAAAAATTAAGATAATATAAATTTCAAAATTTAAAATTCAAAATAAGTTGTATCAATGACTAAAGTTTAATATTTTTTAAATAAGTCAATATGGTACGGTAATACCGTGGTAAACGACTTCAAATGACATATATCAACCAACTTTACATAGTTGGTACGGTACTACCAACAAAGTAAAATCAGTACGGTTGGTACATGAATTGGTTGATTTGTTTTGATACAAAATTGACATCCCTGAAAAATATGTTAAGAGCATCTTGAACAAGCGCGAAGAATCGTGTGAAAAGGAAAGTTATGGTGAGAAACGTAACAAGAGATATGAACCCTTGATCAATTTTAATCTCATGCCCACCCATTAAACTAGTTTTAGATGAAATTGATCTGGTATATCTCGGTGCACCTCATTAGCGTTGACATTTAATTATGATTGATCCAAGTATGAAGATTTCTTCTTACGCTTTTCACCATAACTTTCTTTCTTACCGAACCAACTCTCTCGAACAAGTATTAAAATATTTTATCTCTTCTTAGAAATTTGAAAATTTCTCCATTCTCTCTATTTCTTTCTCTATTTTAAAAGAATGTTTAATATTTATTAAATCTCTAAAAAAATTAAAATGACATAATCTGTGGCGGAAGGCCATACAGGCCTTTAGGGTTCATGGCCCATGGGCTTTTTGATTCATTAAGTGTGTTTATATATATATATATATATATATATATATATATATATATAGGGGAACGTTCAAATAAAAACCACTTAATTTGTACAAACCGTACAAACTTCATTCAATCAATCATAATTTTTCATTTTGTTCATTTTTTTGTAATTATGAGAGGTTGATTAATCATTTTTATTGTGGAGGGTGTT